TCACAATGTTTGCTCTCAGATACATTTCAACATTGCCCACAGAGGTGCCGGGTAAATAGATTTAAACCTTTACGGATTGGGTGAATGCAAACTGCCCTCGATTTCCTTTTCGTGCTCCTTTTACGTTAATGTTAAGCAGTTGATACAGTGTCCACCTGGACAACTCTTAGTTCCGCCAGTACCGTAAGACACATGACTTCCGGGACGAGTTATATGAGGTGGTGAAGCAGTTAAACTTAACCACAAAAAGACGCCACTAGGTATCTTTGTATTATATTCAGAAACTTCGCTGAATTACTTATTTTAGATATTTAAATACAGCCAGACACTTAGTTTATCGAATCAATCATTTTTTCTCCGATTTCATTGATTCCTGCCCTCTAGCGCAAATCTAGCAGGCACGTGTTTAAGTATGTCGAAGTAATAAAGGCTGGGACGAAGCGCTTGAATTGTTCCGCCCCAAATGTTTTATTCGTAATTTATGTATGCTTGTTGTGTACATTCTTTATGTTCACAATATGATAATTTTTCGATTATATTTGGGTGGTACTCGTTCTTTTAGTTGTTACCACACCACTCATAATTATTCCCCTTGAAAAAAAATATCGACTTAGTCTGTGTGAGCTCACGCGTGAGAATTTGTTGGCCCGTCCATCGAGCTTTGCAATGCAGATATTTCGTAAAATCTGGGTCGGTTTGAAACTTCACTTTGTTCTTGCTAATAGTCGATTTAATGTAAAGGTCCGTTTAAACAGACTCCGACATTCATTACGAACTGTCTGAATAAATTAATGTCCATGGAATTCTGCTACCTTCCATGATTCAGTCACTTCAACTCCTACCTCTTTTGGACAATCCACCGGAAAGTAACCGTTTGCGGAACTTCGTCGGCCGTCTGTGTACGTCGAACTGTCTTGCGTATTGATGGCGTTAACGATGACGATTAAGCAACTTCTTAAGAAGTTGGGAATTCCCAACTTACTATAGTAGATCGAACAGAAGTTTCGAACTGAGTTCTAAACTAACCGTCAGAAATTAATCGTTACAGTTATCTCCTTCTTTTCCCTTTGCCCTTCCTCGAGGTAGACGACTTTTCCCAAATATGCTCCTACCACTGGAGCGTTCACACCCCTAATCGGCATTCACCTTAACTTGCTGAACAAAAGCCCTGGCTAGTCCTTCACAGATTGTATTTTCGACGCGGACGCCAGCCGATTGGCTTTTGTCTTTGTAGAGGATTACATTTTCATCAGATGGCTTTCCACTTCTGCAATATATACTTATCAGTAATACGTTACTGTGGAAGCGCTGCACTATTCTGAAATGC